TTGCTGGTGGGCGCACACTCCCTATAGCAAAAATCCTCTCAAAAAAAAAAACAAAAGAAAAGAAAAGAAATGTTCTGAAACTGGACCATGGTGATTGTTGCACAACTTTGGAAATGTACTAAAAGTCAGTGAATTATATACTTAAAACAAGTGCGGATGGTGAAAGCTGCTTTAAAAAGTGGTCAGAAGGCTAGCCCTGTAGCACAAGTTAAGTCCCATGCATTGGGAGCTGGATCCCACATAGCCAACTACAGTTCAAATCCTGCCCCAGAATCCTGAAAAAATGTGCCAGATGCATGTCCGTGCATGCTCAAAATCCTGACGGGAAAAAGAAATGGAGGAAAGAAGGATCGCAGCATGACCAAGCCCCATTGGGGAGAGTCTTCTCTCTCTCTCTCTGGCAAGTGAACATGCCTTCTTAAAAAGAAAAGTGGTCAGAGGCCCAGCTGCAGTGGCACACTGGTAAAGATGCTGCTGTTTTGCATGTTGAGGTCATGCGTAGGCCCAAGTTAAATTCTTGCCTATAAAAGCCAATGTCATGATATGACCTGTGGTCCCAGCCATTTGGTATTAGAAAGAATGGAGAGCCATTAAAAAACTTTGAGTTAAAGGCCTAATACCAGCAGCATCAGGTATACATTTCTTAGAAGAGCCAGACATACTCTCTCCTTCCAGAGGGAATAAATACTGGGTTGTCAGAAAAATCATGACATGTTTTTCTGTGCAAGAATGCATCCTGACTTTTCTGACAACCTAATGGACACAGAGGAATGACAGTAGCACATTGAAGATTGAGGCAGCCTCTATAAAGAAGAGATTTTCCAGGGCCAGCAGTTGGCATAGTGGTTAAGGGTGCTGGGCTCCTATGTGGCCAACTATAGTTTGAATCCCGGACCTGGTGGCTTTCTCACTCTCTTGCTCTCTCACTGTCTCGCTCTGTCCCTCTCTGGTCAAATTAAGAAAATTTAAAAAGTAAACAAATAAAGTTAAATAAAATAATTCTCTTTTTAAAGAAAAAGAAGATATGTTTCAAGTATTTTGAGAATGCTCACAAAAGACGTGGTTAAGAAGCAGCAAAGGCTTCACAGAAGAGATGATTTCAGAACTTGACAGATTTTGACAGACAGAGAAGAGTTTTAGAAAGGGCCTTTCAGGGGAACCAGCAGTTAGCGTAATGGCTATGTCGCTGGACTCCCATGTGGTCGACCGTGGTTCACGTCCCGGACCTGGTGGCTTAAAACTCAACGCCGGGCGCGTGTGCGTGCGTGCCCAAGATCCCAAGAGGATAATGGAGGAGAAAGGATTGTGGCGTGACCATCCCCCCTGGGGGGTGGTTTCTCGCTTCCTGTCTCTATGTCTCTCTCTGTCTGTCTGGCGAGCGCACGCGCCCTATAGCAAAAACCTCTCCAAAAATAAAAATAAAAAAATAATAATAAAATAAAATAAGAAAGGGCCTTTCCGTTTAAGAAAATGACAAGTCCGTGGTTTGTTTGGTAAAGGTGAATGACCTGGGGTGGCTAGAGCACAGAGTGTGTGCAAAAAAAGTGTTAAGCACTGGAAAGTTGTTAAGAATGGCCTGCAAGTCTATGCTGAGGCACTGGGAACTTGAACTGATAACACTTTGGGAGTTACTATGATGAAAGCAGATGTTGGTAAGTCTTTTGATACCCTGAAGAACAGAGCAGAGAGGAAACCCTTTTACAGATTGGATTCCAAAAACATTCCAGGAAAGTTGTGGTGCTAGTAGACCTGGAAAAGCTGTTCTCCTGATGCCTCTTCATGTTTGGGGTTTCTAGGCATCTGGCTGAATTGTGGAGAACCTTGGAGGTTGAGCTGCCCAGTATGACCTGGATTCTCTGGAGGCTCCTGAGGAAGCTGCAGAAATGCCATAACGTGCCCCCACAGGAGAAGATGGTCTATGTGGCTGTCGCTGTAAGCCACTGAGCTCTGCCCCTCTAACTCACCCACCAGGCTCCCTTTTAGGATGACCAGCCCCACACCCAATCTTTCTTTGGTCCCTCTCTTGAGTTTTCTTGTTATCCATTTATGTGTCCCTCCATCTGCATCTCTACCAAGGGACTGACATAGAAGGAGCTGGGGAGAGTGAAGGAATCAATATGGTTTAATATGTCATCAGCATTCTTTCTCCCATCCTTTAAAAAATATTAATTGGGACTAGTACATGGCATAATGGGTACGTTGTTGGACTCCCACATGGCCGATTATGGTTTGAGTCCTGGACTCGGTAACCTGAAACTCATGCTGAGTGCATGTTCATGCATGCCCAAAATCTCAAGAGGAGAATTGAGAAGGGATTATGGCATGGCCATACCCTCTGGGGGATGATTTCTCACTTTCTGTCTCTCTTTCCTTCTCTGTCTCTCCAGCAAGTGTACATGTGCTATAGCAAAAATCTCTCTCTCAAAATAAATAAATAAATATATATATACATATAAAATATAGATCATATATATCAAACATATATATGTGTGTGTATATATCTTATATATATCTATAACTATGATAGTTTATATATATATATATATATAAAAGGAATATAAACTTGTGGGAAAACACTTTCAAATATACAAAGTGTATAAAATAGAAATCATGGCTTCCCTTGAGGAGGGTGGTTAAACTTTTTCTGTAAAAGACCATATGGTAAATTACTTAGGCTTTACAGGTTCCTCTTCTGCCTATGGGATAGGATGTCAAAAAGCACGTTCTGGCTGAAACAGAAGCACAGCCAAAGTGAGGATGAAAGTTAATAGGTGCTCATTTCTGCTCTGTATCTTTTCTACCGCAGGCCACAGATGCCCTGTATGAGGTGTTCATGGGAAACAGGCTCCGGGCAGCTACATTCCGACTGTTTCCTCAGCTTCTCATGACACTGCTTGTCCAGATACATCACAGCATTGGCCTCACCATGTCTGATGTCACCATCCCCAGTGGCCTGTACACAGAGCAGGCAATGTCTTCAGAAATCACCCCTTTACGGTACTACCCATTAGAATTTCATTGACTTTAACTCTCTTTTTTTTTAAAGTTTTTAAAATTATTTCCCTTTTTTTAAAAAAAAATTTGACCAACAAGAGAAAAAAGAGAGAGAGAGAGAAAGTGAGAAAACAAGCTTCCAGGTCCACAACTCAAACCAATGATCTAGCATGTGGGAGTCCAGCACTTCAACCAGCACGTGGCCCCAATTATCACCTATTAAGCACTGAAAACTATAGGGTACATAAAGTTTACAAGATGTGGTCCCAACAGTAGGGGAGCTGAGAGCCTGTGACCCTTACAAGATATCAAGATACATGGCCGATGTGGTTCAAGTCCTGCACCTGTCAGCTTGCTTTTTCAATTTCTCTCTCTTGTGTCTCTCTCTGGTGAGTGCACATTCCCTACAGCAAATTGATAATAATAATAATTTAAATAAATAAGTCATTTTAAGAGGTTTTTGCCCTAAGGTGCATACACTTGTCAGAGAGAAAGAGTGAGAGAGAGAGACAGAGATAGTGAGAGGGAAAGTGAGAAATCACCCCCCTCAGAGGAGATGACCACACTGCAATCCCTTCTCCTCCATTCTCCTTCAGAGGTCTTGGGCATGTACACAAACCTTCCTGATATGAGTTTCAAGCCACCAGGTCTGGAATTCGAACTGCAATTGGCCATATAGGAATCCAGTGATATAACTATTACGCCATCTGTTGGCACCAAATAAATAATTCTTTAAAAAAAAAAAAAAAAAGATACCAAGATGAGAGCCCCAGGAATCAATCCGGGCTTTCATTGGTTGTTTTTGGTTTTATTGGTACCAAAGTCATTGTGGATATCTGGGTCCAGATGTCCTGTAAAATAATGAGTGACATTATGCCAGCCATTTCCTAATAAACCAAATAGAGGCAGGTGAGCAAAACGACCTTGAACCCAGTTCTAAAACTATACTGATTCCCAGTGGAAAGATTCTTCATTTCTGCCTTATTACATGGAGAGATATTTTTTGTTCCTCGGGGTTTCAGTAGAAAGTTCCTAGTATAGTTGTGACACTCGGATTTCTTTCAGAAGAAGCATTGTAATGTGGAATATTTAAGATCAGACTGGGTCAGTAGACATGAGTTCTAGTTCTCATTCATCCATTTAACTAGCTGTGTACCCTGGAGAAATCTGTTGTTCTATGCTTCAGTTTCCTTATTTGTTTTTTTGTTCGTTTGCTTTTGTTCCTTATTTATTTATTTATTTTTGGTAGAGGTTTTTGCCTTAGGGCACATGTGCTTGCCCAAAGAGAAAAACAGACAGTAAGAGGGAAAATGAGAAATCACCCACCAAGGGGATGACCACGCCACAGTCTCTTCTCCTTTCTCCTCCTAGGATCTTGGACATGCACGAATACATGCCCAGCATGAGTTTCAAGCCACTGGGTCCAAGGCTCAAACTGCAGTCAGCCATGTGGGAGTCCAGCGAAGTAACTGCTATGCCATTTGCTGACCCCTCAATTTCCTTACTTGCAAATGAGGTTAGGCAAGATGAGCTCTAAGGACTTTCAGTTTAACTCTCTGATACTGCATCCAGGATAGCAGTTCAATAAATAGCTTTGTTGTTGTTGTTTGCTTTTTAAAGACTTATTTTTAACTTTATTTTATTTATTTTAATTTGACCGGGTTTGAGAGAGAGTGAGAGGGAGAAAGCAAGCCACCAGGTCCAGGACTTGAGCCACAGTTGGCCATAAGTTCAGCACCCTTAACCACCATGCCAATTGCTGGCCCCCTAATAAGTAGTTTTTAAAAGTAGTGTGTTGGGGGGGGGATTTTATAGGGTATAAAGTAAGTCTCTATAAAACTTTTTAAAGAAACAGTGAAGTTTAGCATCCCAGATCATTTATTTTATCATAGATTTCCTTCCAAACTCCCAGGGAAACAAAGTCTAATTTGATTTCTTTATACTGAGAATTCCTGTGAAGGATCTTCCAAATTATTAGAGCATTAAGAGTCTTGGGAACCAGCAGTTAGCGTAATGGCTATGTTGCTGGACTCCCACGTGGTCCATCCATACTGTTGTTTGTTTAGCTTTGCCATGCAGGCCACAAAGACTCTCCTGCTCAGAACATTGTGCTGGCAGGAATTCAACATCATGGAAAAGAATAAAGGATGGAATCTTCTGGAAGAAAAAGATAGCCATCTTCAGGGAGTATTTCTCCTTGCCAGGTAAGGCTTCTTTGTCATGCATACACCCACTTGCTCTAAATCAGTATTGTTTCAAGTATTTTCTTTCCTTTTAGTTATCCCAGCAACTAAAGTTGGATAACCTTCTAACAAGTAGGGGGAGGGAGGAGATAACCATAATGCCAGGCAAACTTTTCAGCGATCCTGACCCTGCCATTCCCTTCTGTATACTGAAATCAAGCAATAATGTCCAAGGGCCCCCAGACCTGAAAATATACCCTCTGGATGAGAGCATTCCTGAGAATTGTTCTGTTTGTGTTCTGTTTTGCAGTGCATTGCTGGAGAGAAACCAACTCCTTGCACATAAGGTCATGTACTTGTTAGTCCCTCTGCTTAATCGAGGGAATGATAAACATAAGCTCACATGTGCAGGCTTTTTTGTGGAGGTAAGATTAATTCTTTTAGAAACTGAATTCAGAAAACCTATAAAGCAGCAGTACCTGTTTTCATAGACTATATCCAACTTAGTGGCAGGCTGGGATCCATTTCAGGTGTGGAACAGAAATATTTTTCAGTTCATACCTATTAAAATATTTCTTTCAAGACCAGCAGATGGTATAATGGTTACATCGCTGGACTCCCACGTAGCCAACCATGGTTTGAGTCCTGGACCCAGCAGCTTAAAACTCAGGCCAGGTGCATGTATGTACATGCCCACAATTCTGAGGAGAGAATGAAGGAGAAAGGGATTGTGGCATGGCCATCCCCGCTGGGGGGTGACATCTCGCTTTCTGTCTCTCTGTCTTTCCAGTAAGCACACATGCCCTATAGCAAAAATCTCCCTTTAAAAAGAACAAAGAAGGGGGAACCAGCAGTTAGCATAATGGCTATGTCGCTGGACTCCCATGTAGTCGACTGCGGTTCGCATCCCGGACCCGGTGGCTTAAAACTCATGCCGGGCGCGTGTGCGTGTGTGCCCAAGATCCCAAGAGGAGAATGGAGGAGAAGGGATTGCGGTGTGACCATCCCCCCTGGGGGGTGATTTCTCGCTTTCTGTCTCTCTGTCTTTCCAGTAAGCACACATGCCCTATAGCAACAATCTCCCTTTAAAAAGAGCAAAGAAGGGGGAACCAGCAGTTAGCGTAATGGCTATGTTGCTGGACTCCCACGTAGTCGACCGTGGTTCGCGTCCCGGACCCGGTGGCTTAAAACTCATGCCGGGCGCGTGTGCGTGTGTGCCCAAGATCCCAAGAGGAGAATGGAGGAGAAGGGATTGTGGCATGGCCATCCCCTCTGGGGGGTGATTTCTCGCTTTCTGTCTCTCTTTCTCTCTCTGTCTGACTGGCGAGTGCATGCGCCCTATAGCAAAAACCTCTCCAAAAAAAAAAAAAAAAAAAAGAACAAAGAACAAACCAAAAATATATTTTTTTCAACACATTCATTATTCAGTATGCTTTGTGTACCAACAATGGCATAACAATCACCCTGTACCATATGTGCTTTATATTAGAAATTTCACAGGAAAATAAAAGGGAACTTCAAACAGCTCATGGGAAAATAGAATTAAAGTATGGGCTTATTTTGGTGCAAAATTATTTTTGGAATTCATGTAGTTTTCATAATACACATTTTCTATGAACTTTTTGGAGACACTTCATATATATTTTGGGGTCGGTGGGAAGGTAGCTTGTCTCATGAAAAAGGGTTTGAAGGTCATTTCTTTGGCTGATTTCTGGGCTCTTCTAGCTTCTCCAGAGTCCAGTGGCTAGGAGACTGCCCAGCATATACTCTACTGACCGCTTGAAAGACTGGCTGCATCATGAAGATCATCTCTTTAGAATTCTGGCTCTGAGGGGGCTGTGCAATCTTACCAGACACCAGGACATGGTAGGAGGGGCCCCCAACACTGATTCTTTTTTTTTTTTTTTTGAGAGAGAGAGAGAGAGAGATTTTTGCTATAGTGCACGTGTACTCACCATAAATACAGAGAGACAGAGAGAGAGAAGGCAGAAATCACCTCCAAGGGGGATAGCCACACCACCATCTTTTCTCCTCCATTCTCCTCTTGAGATTTTGGGCATGCATGCACACACACCCAGTGGGAGTTTCAAGCCTCCGGGTCCAGGATTCAAACTACAGTTTGTCGTGTGGGAGTCCAGCAACATAACCATTATGCTGCCTTCTGTCCCCAGACCACTGATTCTTAAAGACATAAATAGGATATCCCAAAGAGACCCAAGAGACTGATAAGAGCTGAGGAGAAAAAGTAGGTAGCCCAGAGCAGGAGTGGGTGAAAGAAGGTCTTTTTCACTGCACATCTTTTTGTACCATGCGTATTTTATGTCTAGAAACATGCAAGTCCTGACTAAAAAATTAGTGAAATTTAAATCAATAAATATGCAGTCCAAGTCACAGGTAGCAAAATATTTAAAACGTAAAAATTGTGTGGGCGGTACACATGTTATTATCACAACCTGGACAACATTTAGGTGTCCCTCTATGTCTTATACCATGTTGTCTTAAGGAGTAAATTGGATAGGCTATAATTGATCTGCTGCCAGGATGCTTATTGCCAAAGGCAAGGATTACTGGCATTCATTTCATGTTAGAAGAGACCTTATTTTTTATAGGCTGAGCTAGAACACAGGGCTTCCATTGGAGACAAGTAACCCTGAGACTTCAATTACTTGAGTTCTATTTACTTAGATATATATATGTATCTGAAGCAAAAGTGACAAATGTTAATTCTGGTTAATTAGATACATAAATATTTGCTGCTTTATTCTTTTTTTTATAAAGAGAGATTTTTGCAATAGAGCGCATATGCTCACTCGAGAGACAGAAAGTAAGAAATCACCCCCTGAGGGGATGGCCACACCACAGTCCCTTCTCCTCCATTCTCTCAGGATTTTGAGCGTGCATGCACATGCACCCAGCGTGAGTTTCAAGCCACCAGGTCTGGGACCCAAACCACAGTCGACTTCATGGGAGTCCAGGGACATAACCATTACACTACTTGCTGGTCCCGCTTTATTCTTGATTTTTTATTTCTTCATGATAGAAAGCATGTGTTTGTATGCATGTGCTTCCAAGAGAAAAGAGACAGACAGAGAGAGAGAGAGAGAGAAGCACCCTTGCTAGGGTCTTACCATATCACAATCCCCTTTCCCCAGCCCTCAGCTCCTCAGAACCTTGGGTGCTTGTGTGTGTCCCAGCATGCTTTCAGGCTGACCCAGCAGTCAGAACCATGGCTGGCCATGTGGCTTCCAACACTGTAGTCCACACTAATGACTGCACCACCAATGTTGGGCCTCTTCTTACTTTTTCACAGGTGTGTTTTAAGCCATGAGTTTCAGAAGAGCAGAATCCCAATTCATAATGGGAAGACACTTATAGGTCCTTGGTCAATTTCTGCTTGAATTTCTGAGGGAACTTTGAACCTCTGTTTGTATACCTTCCCTGTTAGAGAACTCCCTGTGACCTGAGCTAACTGTTCCACTTTCTCTTATTTTAAAAGCTCTTTCTTACAGTAATCCCAAGTCCTTATCTCTTGACCTTCTGTCCTGTGAGGCAACTCACAGCAGATCCACCCCATCCTTTACATATCAGGCCTGCCAATATTGATAGAGGGCAATCATGGACTAGCCAGCACTGCCAACAGTTCAAAAGCACTGGGTACTGAGTAAAGGTAGGGAGCCCTTCTTTTGATACCAGAAGATGTGCTATCAGGAGAGGTAGTGACACTCTCCCTTTGGATACACAGAGGGAAGCTATCCAGAGCTTGTTGCCATCCATCTTAGACATCTTAGGTGAAACCGATGAGAGGATTGTTTTGTTGGCCATCCAGATACTCCTGCAACTGGTCAGGACAATGGATTTCACTACCCTGGCTGCCATGACGAGGATCCTACTCTCCTTGTTTGGTGATGTAAGACCATGAGAGAGGAGGGTTTTTCCTAGGGGAGGGGTGGTAACTGGCATACTACTAGTAGAAGTTAGCATAGTATTAAGTACACTCTATTTTATATAGTATGTTTAATTTTAAAATCCCTAGTAGAAGTTAGCATAGTATTAAGTACACTTTATATAGTATGTTTAATTTTCAGATCTCCTCTCTTCAGACCCTCCCAGGTAGCCCTTGATGCTGGTAGGGCTGATGTTACTGTTATGTTTCAGATTTAAAACAAAACAAAAAAAACAGACATAGAAAATTCACAAGGTACTACCCTGCCTCTTGGGAGGAGAGAGGACTGCATATAGGAGAAAACATTGTCTTTCCTTTCAAGAAATAATCAGGACCTGTCAAGATGGTGGATTATACTGTGTCCCTGTCCCAAATCCCAAATATTTTTCAAAAAAGCATATATGGGTCATAATTTACCAGCATCCTGGGGGAGTAAATTATGCCAAGGCCAGGATTTTAAATTTTGGCAAAACAACTTGTATGAGTAGATACCAGTATGAGGCACAAGTTCAGATAACTACAGGGGAGCTGTGCCTACTTCTCATTTATAGAGAGAGAACAAGAAACAAGGTTTTTTTCTTTTTTAAAAAAATAATTATTTTTATTTAACTTTATTTATTTTTTCTAATTTGACCGAAGACAGAGTGAGAGAGAGAGGGAAAGTGAGAAAGCAAGCCATCAGGTCTGGGACTCAAACCATGGTCAACCATGTGGGAGTCCAGCACCCTTAACCACCATGCCACCTGCCAGCCCCAACAAGCAAGTCTTAATTGCCTCCATGTATATTTGATTTCTTGACCTGAGGCTAAATAATCTCATGCTGATACTGGCCTGTCAACCCACCCAGAGTTCTTAGAGGCAAACACAAACACTTCAGTGAGTTCCTTCCTTTTGGATTCTCCCTTCATAGGTGAGACCTGATGTTCATCATTTCTCCATGACACTCTTTGGAGCCTCCATAAAGTCTGTGAAATACACAGATAAGAAGAATATAGAGAGCCAAGTCCTGGAGAGCCTGGTCCCACTACTTCTGTATTCTCAGGACGACAATGAGGCAGTAGCTGAGGTAATGCCTACTGTCACCTTTCAGCCCTGAATAACTTCAAATCCAGAGCCAACTCTGCCAGTTAGTGTTCATATTTTTGAGTCAGAAACTTTATAGTACCACCCTTAGTCCCCATTTCCTCTAGCACATATCTTTCAGTTATTTAACCTAAATAAATTTTGTGAAAAATCTTAGTACTTATTTCCATCCTTCATTGGTATGATCTAAGTATTATCTCTTTTTGTATCCCCAACCCAGTTCAGCCTAACACAGAGCCCTAAGTACAGTACTCAATTCAACAAACTATTTTCATTGATGACAATGATAATATCTTCTTTCACTTCAAGAACCGCTTTGTGGCCTTGAGACCATAAGAGCTGGGCTGTGGCTAAGTCCGAAATAGTAACTTCTTTGACTATCTGGAGAAGTCTTTCCCTGTCTTTGAACTCCCAAAGGTTTCTGTTTTTCTTTCCTCTTTATAAAAATTTGCTGTAGGGCAAGTGTTCTTGCAGTAGAAAGACAGAGAGAGAGAGCACTCGGGGAGGGGATGATGACCATGCTGCAGTCCCTTCTCCATTGCCCTCCTGGGGTTTGGGGGCATGTACCCAGTGTGTTTTTCAAGCTTCCTATACTTGAACTGTGCAGTCAGCCATGTGAAATCCAGGCACCTTAACCAATTTCCCAAGGGTTTCTGCCCTAAGAGTTGTAATTCTCTACTTAAGATAGAAATTTCCCATCTTTACTACAGCACTGTACCCCAGAAGCCTGTTCAATCCAAGGGAGGTACATTTAAACCACGAGGACTGTGGAAGAATACTGGAACTCTCACCTCACTCTGCTCCTCTTTAAAGAATGAAAGCTCAAGGCTGCAGATTCAGAAACAGAATTTAAGATTAAAATGGGCCCTGGTGCCTTGTTATGGGGAAAGATTTATGACTTTAAAATCAGACATGAACTGTTTCCCAACCAGGTGATGAAAAGTATACCCTGTAGAGATTTCAGGGATTTGGAGGTGTCAATACCACACCCCACCATGCCAGCCCTTGCCAAACAGACAAGGCCTAGAGCAGCTATGGCTCTGGGTTTATTTTCCTTCAAACCTTGAATAACCTCTAGCCTCCTTCAAGGCTCCTCAGAGAGAAGCCTAAGCAGAGGGGAGGAGGGTCTCACATAAAACAGGTTAGGAATCACTGGCACAGAGAACTTAATAAACACCCATATATCTAACACCCACTCTAAGAAATGAAATAGGAATCAATCATTTACCTATCCCCAGTTGAATTCCTCCAAGAACTATCATCGTGAATTTTGTTTTCATCACTCTTATGGCAATATTTTTTTCAGCTTTTAAAGCTTATATATGTCATATAATTCTATAAATCTTTCAGCATCTTTCTTTTTTGTTCATTCTTGAGATTTATCCATGTATTTTCTCTATTGTATAAAATTCCATCATACAAATAACCTACAACTTATGCCATTCTCCTATTTCTGGACATTTTGATCATTTTTCATTATTACGACATTACAACAAACATGCTTGTACACATTTCCTTGTGTACATGTATGATAGTTTCTTGAATGTATAAACCCAGAGGAGAGAGATCTAGGAATCTTTTTCTACTTTTTAGTTGCCAATAGATGCATTTACTTTCTGGAGAGAAATAGAGATACATAGAGTAAGGGAGAAAGCACCACCCCTCCATGGGGTTTGGTCACACCACAATCCCTTTTCCATTTCTTCATCCTTTTGGGATTTTGGTTGGTCATGTGGGATCTGGCTCCCTTAACCAGTAAGCTATGGAGTCAGGTCAAACACTTATTTTTCCTTTTTAAATTACAAGAGGGGGCATGCACTCACCAAAGAGAGAAAGCACCCCCCCCCAATGGGCAGGTCATGCCACAATAATTTGTCCTTCATTTCTATATCCTTTCCGTATTTGTGACATGCACACACATGCCCAGTGTGTTTCTCAAGCTGCTGGGGACAGCATTTGAACTACAGTTGGCCATGTGGGATCTGGCTGCCTATGCACAGCACTTAACTGTCACACTACAAGGGCAGCCTAAGAAATTTTTTAACTTTACCAGATATTTACAAATTGCTAAAAAAAAGTAGCTGAGCTAATTTGTATTTCCATCAGTCCCCACAGGAATTGTGTCTGTGTGTGTGTGTGTGTGTGTGTGTGTGTGTGTGAAATGCATGAAATATTTTTTAAACTTTTATTTATCTATATTTTTTCCATTTAGATTGTAAAGAAACTTTACCAAGCATTACAATTTTTAATGCTTTTATGCTCTCCAGTTCTTCAGTCTCTACTATAGAGTGCAGACAGTTGGTATATGTTAAGTGGAGACAGACAGTGTCTCTCTTTCATAGCCTGACTTGCTTCACTCAGCAACAAATCTTCCATTTTCCTCCACTTTCTAACAAATTCCAGGGCCTTTTTTTTTTTTTTAATAGCTGAATAGTGTTCCATGGAGTATATGTGCCACAATTATTTTTCAGTCCATTCATCTGTTTGTGGACATTTGGGTTGGTTCCATGTCTTAACAATTGTGAATAATGCTGCAGTGAAATAGTTGTGCAAGTGGTTTTCTGACTGAGCATTCTCCTGTCCTCTGGGTAAATATCCAAGAGTAGAATTGCTGGATTATATGGTAGTTCTAGTTGAAGGTCTTTGAGGAACCTCCATATAGTTCTCCACAGTGACTGGACCAATTTACATTCCCACCAACCATGTAGGAGTGTTTCCCTTTCACCACATCCCCTCTAGCACTTATCATTATTTGTTTTTTTAATCTTCACCATTCTGACTGGGGTTAGGTGGTATCTCATTGTGGTTTTGATCTGCATCTCCCTTATGATGAGGGAAGATGAGCATTTTTTCATATGCTTTTTGGCTGTTTGGATATCTTCCTTAGAGAGTTGATTATTTAGCTCATTTCCCCATCTTTTAATTGGGTTAATCATTTTCTTTTGGGTAAGCTACTTGAGTTCCCCATGCATTCTGGTTATCAGTCCTTTATCTGAGGCACAGTTAACAAAAATTCTCTCCCATTCCGAGGGTTGTCAATTCACATTAATTACAGTGTCCTTTGCTGTGCAGAAACTTCTTAATCTGATGTAATCCCACCTGTTTGTTTCGGAGATTATTGCCTGTGCATTGGGGGTCTTCCCAAAGGAATTTTTATGGCCCAATGACTTAGTGGAGATGAAATAAAACATTGGCTCGGAGACTCATCAGAGGAGTTGTTTGGTTTATGGAGAGCAGTGAACCAGCTAAGAGGCCCATTTGCTAAATTTCGGTTCAGTATCTGCATTAGAAAGGGATCATACACTTTAGAATTCCTTCCAATGCAGAGATGCCACAAGAAGTCAGGAGTTACACTTAGCTCTGTGAAGAGTAACAGAAATATGACTCAGGAACAGCAAGTGGAGCTAGGAGCCCAGTCTCTAGAGCATTGGGTAGTGGAATTCCAGCCCAGATCTCTGGTCTGGGTACTTCATTTTTGCCAGACACCAGTGGTTCCTACATCCTCCCCAGAACCCTGAACAGGTTGATGGATCCCCTTATGGGACATTTGGAGAAGTTAGAGGAGATGGGTATGATTATAGCTCTTTTCTATCCCTCTCCTCACTTCAACCATGGTAATTCTGAGTTTATCAGCTTTTCATATTGGACTCTAGTGTCAATTTTTTTAAAGAAAGTTTACCTCTGCTAAAAAATGTTTGAAAATGCTGATCTGTGATCATCTTTTTCACAGGAGAGCAGACGAGTCCTAGCTATATGTGCCCAGTTCCTGAAGTGGAAGCTGCCACAAGAAGTGTACTGCAAAGACTCCTGGTACACCAAGCCTGTTGAAGCTGGAGCAATCTGCAAATTCTTTGTATGTGAGCAAGAATGCCTTTGTTTACTGTGTAACATGCTGAATTACTTTTTTTTTTTTTTTACAACACGAATCCATTTTTATTCATTTATTTTTCATTATTTTCAATCCTTGAGGGGTATAGCATCACATGGATTCTGTTTCCAATAGCCTTAGCAGGAAGTTTGCTTCAGAATTTGGCCCACAGTTTCCATGGGTATGGGTACCTTTCTCTAGATTACTCTGGTTTTATTTGGTTTGCCACCAGGGGTCACTGTGTCATTTTTTGCTTTGTACATATAAGCACACCTCTTGCCCAAACAGAACTCCATTTTATCTCGTGCATAAACACCTTACATTTTTTTTTTTAGAAGGAGAGCACTGTTTTATTACTTGTATGTACAGAAAACTCAACAGCATACACTTAACCCAGTTTGGTGGCGAGCTCTTTAGCCTTTGCCTTTTTCAGCTTTGCAATGCAAGCCACAGATTTCAGGCCCAGGACGTTGCCTCCCCAGTGGCTGCAGATCTCATTCATATCTGTCATTGTAATTGGTCCTGATGGCTTCCACCAGCTTAGCCAAGGCACTGATGGCTTCCACCAGCTTAGCCAGGGCACCCTTGTCCTCTGCGTTAACCTGTGTGAAGGTGACAGTGGTACAGGTTTTCCTGTGGACCAGGTGTCCCAACCTGACCTTCCCCTTGATAATGCAGTAGGGAACCTCCATCTTCTGACACAGGGCAGGCAGGAAGGCAACCAGCTCGATGGGGTCCACATTGTGTGCGATCACCACCAGCTGAGCCTTCTTGTTCTCCACCAAGGTGGTGACAGTGTTCATCCCTGCCCGGAGGACTGGCGGCCTCTTAGTGGGAACATCCCCTTTGTCGGTGGCCTTCCTCTCAGCCTGGGCCAGCAGCCGCTGCTGCTTCTCCTGCTTTGTCTCTGGCCTATACTTGTGGGCCCGCTTGAGCAGCTGAGTAGCTGTCTGGCGGTGCAGGGCCTGGGTGAACTGGTTAATGGCAAGAGGCACTTTCAGCCACTTGTAGAGGATGGCCCTGTGACGCTATAGCCAAGCCATTTGACAAAGTGGGTAAGGTCCCTTCTGGGCTGGATGTTCTGTCCTATGCCAAAATTCTTAGACCTTTTCTCAAACAGGGGATTGACCACCTTCTTAGCCTCCTGCTTCTTCATGACAGCAGGGGCCAGAGCCACCTTCTTCCCTTTGGCCTTCTTTCCCTTTGGCATCTTGGGCTACTGGAGGAGAGAACAACACCTCACATTATAAGAAGAGCTGTGTGCTCCCTTTGGTTCCTGAGACCCTGCTGATAGCCAGCAAAAATGGCCTTGGACCACAGTCTTCCAGGTATAGTTGTTTTAGAAGTCCTGTTCCCAGCAGGCACAGTGAAGCCCACCTCGATTATTTCCATATTTTTTTTCTGACCTTGTTTTTGATGAAGAAACATGTCATACAGGAAACATTTCCCATCCCTTTTCCCATCAGCAGTTGATAACTATGAACTGTTTTGTCCTGCAGATCTGTTTTTTTATAATTCCCTCTTCGTTGAGGTACAAATTCCCTTTTTTTTTTTTTTGAGAGAGAGATTTTTGCCCATAGTGTGTATGTGATTGCCAGAGAGACAGAAAGCAAGAAATCATCCCCTTGGGGAATGGCCACACCACAATCCCTTCTCCTCCATTCTCCTCTCAGAATTTTTGGGCATGCACGCGCACATGCCCAACATGAGTTTCAAGCCACCAGATCCAGGACTCGAACTTCAGTTGACCAGATGGGAGTCCAGTGCATTAACCACTGTGTCACTTTCTAGCTCCACAAATTCACTTTCTGTTACCATTGTTCCTCACAAAAAAGACTGATATGTTCTTGGGAACCCCACTATCTGGATTAGAGGCTACAAGGTCAATCTAACAGCACTTGCTCAAAAAATTCTTGTGGGCTGAATTAAAATGGGGTTATGTGGGCCAGCAGGTTTCATAGCAGTTAAGGCATTGGATCCCATATGACCAACTTCCCAGTTCGAGTCCCAAACCTGTGGCTTGAAAAACACCCTGGGAACATGTGCATATGTGCCCAAAATGTGAAAGGAGAATGGAGAAAGGATTGCAGCTTGGCCTTCCCTCTCTTCGTGGGGCAGAGGTGATTTCTCACTTTCCCTCTGTCTCTGTCTCTCTCCAGCAAGTGCATGCACCCTATGGCAAAAATCTAAAAAAAAAAGAAAGAAAATATGTATTGCCTTTAAAACTATCTCTAATCCTTTCCTCGGCTATGATAGATCGTTTTACTTCCTATCAGAGTATACTCGGAGCACCAACAAGGGTTGCTATGCTATGTTGCCATGCAGCATGATGGCAGCATATACACTGGCTCTGCCTTGACAGAGGGTACTGTGGCTAATCTCAGGGGCAGGCTTGAGCCAGGGCAGCCTCAAGGAGACCTATCCATAGTTTTCTAGAAACTGACCCTAGAGCCACCTGGATCCTACAATGAAAAGCCTATGGGACCAGCAGTTAGCGTAATGGCTATGTTGCTGAACTCCCATGTAGTCAACTGTGGTTCAAGTCCTGGACTCGGTGGCTTAAACTCACGCCGGGCACGTGTGCGTGCATGTCTAAGATCCCGAGAGGAGAATGGGGGAGAAGGGATTGCAGTGCAGCCATTCCCCCTGGGGCGATTTCTTGCTTTCTGTCTCTCTGTCTCTCTGCGGAGCGCACACGCCCTATAGCAAAAACCTCTAAGAAAAAAAGAAAAGCCTATGACAGTATCCTCAGGAATCTTCCATATGCATAACCTATTTAGGTCCCAGAGTGGGCTTCTTTGATCAGACTTGCCAGAGACAGAAAGCCCCACTGTGTTGCTATGTCAGGTTTTCATTTCCACTGAGAATTATCTCTCCGACCCTTAGCCAAACCTGTAGCTGATGCACTGTTAGCAGTATTTACAGCAGGGAACTTGGTGGTCTCAATGGCTAAGACTACAACTTGTTGCTAAATCATAAGTCTATAAGCACAAATTCCTATCCCTTCCATTCCTGAGGTACCTGTCCTCATGAGAGATCCACTGAGAGGCGCTTTCATTCACCCACTAAGCGTAACACATCCACGGTGTGACAGGTCATGGGAAAACCAAGGATTAAAACTTCCTGAAGGGAGCTAACTCAGAAGGGAGATAAAAGCTCCAAAAAAAAAATGTAGTAGAAACTCAAGGTAAAAAGTAATAAGTGCCAAGAGAGGAATGTCTGTTAAATGCTCAGAGCTGGCTTAGGTCAGGCAGGCTAGAAGTCAAGGAAGATCTCATAGGGAGATGGAGCTCAAGGTAGAGTTTAGAGAACAGAGAAGCCAAGACAGCTTTAGAAGCATTATGGACACAATATGTGACACAAGTGGGTGGAGCACGGGATTGTCAGAGGACTTATCTTTGCCTAGGGACTTGTTAATATGCATAATATTCATTGAGCAACTGTAATGGTTATTTCAAGTATTACTATAGTCTATATCTGATATAGTCCCTGACCTTGGTAACTATGGACAGGCTTATCAAAATAATGATTCAACTTTATTATCTGTGTTCTTACTATTTTCCCCATTTAGGGAAAAAGATGCAAGGGGAAAATTAACATCCTAGCCCAAACACTGATGTATACCAAGAATGCAAAACTTCCTATCAGAAGAGCAGCAGTCTTATTTATAGGTACAAATAAAATCCTTTCATGTCTACAGTCACTTTTATTCTGCACTTTCCCAAGTTGCGTTGTAGAGTGTTTCCATTCTTTACGAAGACAATTTTAAAAATACTTCTAGGAGTAGGGGGCTATATTACCTTTAGGGAACCACCAAGTTCTTGAATGTTCAATTTTTGGAATCTGCCTAACTATTAAAAGGCCAATTCTACCAGCTGCTCAGGTGTTTTTATTTATTTATTTATTTATTATCAACATAATCTTAGCTGCTCAGGTTTTTCAACCATAAAAACTTTCAGGTATTAGGACCAGCAGTTGGTATAATGGCATGTCGCTGGACTCCCATGTAGCCGACTGCAGTTCGAGTCCCGGACCTGGTGGCTTAAACTCACGCTGGGCGCGTGTGCATGTGTGCCCAAGATCCCAAGAGGAAAATGGAGGAGAAGGGATTGTGCCGTGGCCATCCCCCCCCCGCCCCCCAGGGAGTGATTTCTCGCTTTCTGTCTGTCTTTCTGGCGAGTGCACATGCCCTTATAGCAACAAAAAAACTCTCAAAAAAAAAAAAAAAAACTTTCAGGTATTAATTTCTAAGAGTGAAATCCAGATCACAGACTCACTGACTTTATCCTGTGTTTAGGGCTCTTATCAAAATACATGGATCACAGTGAACTCAGGATGAAGGGTACTGCCTGGATAAAGGCTGGTAAGTGACAGTATCCTTGCATTCGGGCTTTCGGAGGGTACTGAGGCAGTGACTATGGGCAGGCTCTGTAGCAGAGTCGAGACCTAGCATCCAGAAAGCCTGACTTTTGCAGCAATAAAGCTATTAATGACTTCAGCAAGATGACAGTCACATCCTAGTCTAATTCCCTTTTTAGGGAAGGTCATGATCCTATTTGTCTAGAAACCAGTTTTGATGAGTATCTCAGAGATAGTTCCTGAACTTTGTATGTTAGGAAATCAGACATTGCCTAGAAATACTACCATAGTAAATGATCATGCTGCCTCACAATTACCACAGAGAAGGCTGTAACACTATTTTCCTTTTTTAAAAAAGGAATTATTTATTTGGGGCCGGCAGGTGGCATGGTGGTTAAGGGCACTGGACTCCCACATGGTCAATCACGGTATAAGTCCCAGGCCTGGTGGCTTGCGTTCTCACTTCCCCGCTCCCCTCTCTCTCTCACTCTGTCCCTCTCTGATCAAAATAAATAAATAAAATAAGGGTTTTTTTAAAAGCATTATTTATTTAATTTTATTGATTATTATTTTTTAAAAATTTGCTATAGATTGGGGTTGGCAGGTGGCATGGTGGTTAAAGGCACTGGACTCCCACATAGCCAACAGCAGTTCAAGTCCTGGACCTGGTGATTTGCTTTCTTACTTAGAGAAAGGTCTCTAAGAAAAAAGACTAGAGGACCAGCAGTCAGCATAGTGGCTATGTCGCTGGACTCCCATGTAATCAACTGTGGCTTAAACTCACGCTGGCCACATGTGTGTGGTTGCCCAAGAAACCTAGAGGAGAATGGAGGAGAAGGGATTGCAGCGTGGCCATCCCCCCGGGGGGGTGATTTTTTGCTTTCTGTCTCTCTGGTGAGCGCGCACGCCCTATAGCAAAAACCTCTCAAAAAAAAAAAAAAAAAAAAAGGCTTGAAAGACATACACCCAAAATAACATGGTTCTTCCCAGGTGGGAGGCTTGTAGGTGACTAATTTTCTAGTATTTACAGGCACTATCTAAATTTTCTGCACAATAAACATTTCTTTCTTTTACAGTAAGAAAACATAATATTGGGAACCAGCAGTTAGCATAACGGCTATGTCGCTGGACTCCCACGTAGTCGACTGCGGTTCACGTCCCGGACCCGGTGGCTTAAAACTCACGCCGGGCGCGTGTGCGTGCGTGCCCAAGATCCCGAGAGGAGAATGGAGGAGAAGGGATTGCGGCGTGACCATCCCCCCTGGGGGTGATTTCTCGCTTTCTGTCTCTCTGTCTCTCTGTCTGTCTGGCGAGTGCACATGCCCTATAACGAAAAACCTCTAAAAAAAACACATAATATTTAAGAAGTTTTTTTAAAAATTAAAAGGGCATAACGATTTAAGAGTTATAACTTCAACCAACACAGATTCTTAGAGATTAACATTAGATATAGGTTAGAGGTCCAGACACTTTGACTTTAGGTGGACTGAAATGTGATTATTGCACAGAAGTGAAATATTTAGCAACTCAGAAACCAGTGTTTTTTGTAGACTGAAACTGGAATTAATCCACTGATGTACAATTTTTAGACAGAGACTCAGGAAAAGTAGGCCCCTTATTTTGGCTACATCAGGCACATTGACTGTTTGGTGTCTATAGCAGTGCTCATTTCCATAGATCTCAGGAATTTTCACCTCCGATCTGGTATTCTTGCCACTTAGATCTGCGAGGTCTGCTGCATGACCCTGAGCCTTCTCTGCGCATCATCGCCTCCCAGACTCTGTTCCGAATCCAGAAGGTAGAGACTGAGCCAGAACCTGAGCAGACAGTTTGCTGGCTAAGGAAGCTCATGGGCTGTCTCCATACCTAGAAATGCAAGGCAAACAACATCAGGTAAAAACTAATCCTCTTGGAAACCACAGATACAACTAATGACCCCCATTTTTCCCCCCTAAATCAAAGCAGTGCCATTCCGAAGCTACCTACATGCAATTAGTTACTTCCAATATGTTTTTTGCTGTCAAAACCTTTAAAGATGTAGAATATATAGGTGACAGCAGTTCTTGGTTTAAATTTGCAAAATGAGTGAAAAATCTACTGAGTTTTTAAGACAAGTAGAACATCCATGCAGTTCTATTCTTTTGCTTATTTCTTTCTTCCTTCGATCAGAGAAAGGGAGAGACAGGTACACCAAACAGGTCCTCATGTCATGATCTGTCCCCGGTTTAAGCCAGTCTGGATCATAGCCCTGTCATGCATACCCATCGTGCTCAGAGAGCTCCTAGGATACTAATCCAGGACCTATCCCAGGTGGGCCCAGTTGTGTTACCACTAAGCCACCTTTGGCTTCCATAAATTTCATTCTTTTCCTCTAAAGTTTGAATTTTTTTTTTTTTTTTTTTTTTGCCTTAGGACACTCACCAGAGAGAGCAATACAGAGAGGGTGACAGGGAAAGTGAGAAATCTCCCCCCAGGGTGGATGGCCATGCCACATTCTCCTCTCCTCCATTCCCTCACAGGATCTCAGGCACATATACACATGCCCTGCATGACTTTCAAGCCACCAGGTCCAGGACTTGAACCTTAGTCAGCCCTGTGGGAGTTGAGCAACATAACCACTATGCCATCTGCTGGTCCCATAAAGTTTGATTTTTAGTAACTAGGTCTAGAACTACAAAAGAAATTCTAAATAAATGTTAATGTTACAGTGTTAGTATTGATGATTCTTTTGTCAAAGCTCAGGCTACTAAATTGTCAATAATTTTAGGAATAACATTCCATTCTTAGAGTTGCATATTTAATTTTTTTTTCTTTTTTAGAGATTTTTGCTGTAGGGTATGTGTACTTGCTGGGGAGACAGACAGACAAAAAGCAAGAAATCACCCCCACCTCCAGTGGGGAATGGTCATGCCATAGTCCCTTCTCCATTCTCCTCTTAGGATTTTGGGCACGTATGTACACACACCTCGCATGAGTTTTAATCCACCAGGTTTGGGACTTGAGCTGTAGTTGACCATGTAGGAGTCCAATGTGTTGATCACTATGCCACCTGCTTGCCCCTTAGTGATGTGTTTTTATATTTCTTAATGGCCATTCTCCTTCCTTTTTCTGTCCCTTAAAAACTTTAAAGCAGGATGGCCCCACAGCACAGTGCTTAAGCCCTGTGTATAAGGAGCCAGATCCACATGACCAACCACAGTTAAAATCCCAGCCCTAGTAACTTGCAGAACCTGCTGGGCATGTGTGTGTAAGCTCAAAATACTTATGGGACAGGAAAATGGGTTACAGTGTGTACTTTGTCTCTCTCTCTCTCTCTCTCTTTCTCTTGGGTATGTGCACAAGTCTTCTAAGAATAAACAAAACTAAAAAACCTTTCAGTAAGACCCAGCCTGGTGGTATAGGTGGTAGGGTATTGCTGCCATGATCCTGGTTGGCTGGAAGGCTAGAGGAGGCATGATGATTATGGCATGGTAAGACTTGTCAAGAGCACCTTCCTCTCTCTCTCTCAAAATAATAAAGAAAAACTTCAAGCAAGACAAAATTTCTGAAGTGATATAATGCCAAATCTATTCTAATGTATTCAAGGTTTCTATTCATTACTTCCCCCCCTCCTTTTTTCCCCCATTTTGCTCAATGCCTCTTTTACAACTGTTGTCAGGTCTTCAGATTGCTCTAAGACAGAACTATTTGGTCATTGAAAACATGTTTTTTGCATAGAAAAATATGTCATGAATTTTCTGATGATTCAATAAATTTGAGTACCCACTGTCTGCTTGAGGCATGGATGGAGAAAAATTTCTTATAAAGCAGAAATTTTCCAGGAAAGAGATTAGTTGGTTTTGGGTAAATACTTTGATAAGCTGCATGTAGAAGGGTAGGAAACCCTTAAGAGTCATGCTAGACTATTTAGAAATAGTCACTATCCATCCAATTCCCGGGCTCTTGTTTGGTGGAGGAACACAAGCAGAGAACCACAGATGAACTTTCTGGGACAATGCAGAGACCTCTTGTTGCTAGTATGGGAAAAGATAAAGGAACTGGGGTAACTGGCAGATGAAGAACAGAACCATCCACTGCTGAATTGCATTAAGTTTTGTTGCAGTGAGCAATGTGAATCCTTATTCACTCTACCCCCCATCTTCTACCCCTTCCCACTGCCAAGACATCTTTTTTTTATTTTTAAGAATTATTTTAATAAAGAGGGAACCAGCAGTTAGCGTAATGGCTATGTTGCTGGACTCCCACGTAGTCGACCGCGGTTTGCGTCCCGGACCCAGTGGCTTAAAACTCATGACAGGCGAAAAAAAAAAAAAAAGAATTATTTTAATAATGATAATAACAATAAATAAAGTTAAATAAAATAATTCTTTAAAAAAAAAATAGGGGCCCACAAGTGGCATGGTGGTTAAAGGCGCTGGACTCTGGGAACCAGCAGTTAGCGTAATGGCTATGTCACTGGACTCCCACGTACGTAGTTGACCGCAGTTCGCGTCCTGGACCCGGTGGCTTAAAACTCATGCCGGTGCGTGTGTGTGCGTGCCCAAGATCCCGAGAGGAGAATGGAGAAGAGATTGGGGTGTGGCCATCCCCCCGGGGGGGTGATTTCTTGCTTTCTGTCTCTTTATCTCTGTCTGTCTGGCAAGCGCACGTGCCCTAAAGCGAAAACCTCTCCAAAAAAAAAAAAAAGGCGCTGGACTCCCACATGGCCGATCACGGTTCAAGTCTCGGACCTGGTGGTTTACTTTCTCACTTCCTCTCTGTCTCTCTCTGGTCAAACTGAAAAATAATAATGATAATAACAATAAACAAAGTTAAATAAAATAATTCTTTTAAAAACAAGAATTCTTTTATTCTACTTTTTATTATTTTGAAATTTTGACCAGAGAGAGATGTGAGAAAGAGAAAGTGAAAAAGCAAGCCATCAGCTCCGGAACTTGAACTGCAATGGCCATGTAGGGGTCCAGTGCCTTAACCACCATGCCAACTGCCAGCTCCCTGCCAAGACATCTTTAAAAGAAAATCTCTCCATAATTCATAATGAGTTGGATTTGAGTTATGTGACAGTGTGCCAAGTGTGACTTCAAGGGGATCACTACCCGAGAGAGGTCTTCCTATCTGGGAGTAGCATAAGTTGTGAGTGAAAACCCAGACCCCAGTTGCCTAATGCATTAAATCTTCACCCTTAAGAAGAGCCCCAAGAATACACCTTGAGGTTGGTCGCTAGATGCTAAACTTCGATGCAAAGAGCACATTTGAGTTACTTATATCTGTCATTGTTTTCTCCTTAGTGGTCATTACATGCAACCAATTCTACTCTCCACTTTTGAACTAATCAACTTTGTGGATTATCTAATAAATATGAATAGTGTTTACTGGGTATCTACAATGAGTCAGGAACTATAATTATATCATATTAAATAATTATATAATTAGCTATTATATAATTAACTCTTAAGCTTTGTAACCATTCCATGTATCATTATCTCCATTTTGCAGATGGGAAAGCTGTGGAACCAAACATGAAAATGATTTGTTCAAGTTCACACAACTAGTAAATAGTAAAGCCAGGATTCAAAACCAAGTAGTCAGGCTCCAAAGCCCACACCCTGACTGGTCTACTCTGCTCTTCTCCAGTCTGCTCTTTTGCTCTAATGTGAATAAATGTCGATCTACTCTACAGTTAACCTCAGTTGCTGAATTCATGGCCCCAAAGAAACTCATGTAATCAAACAAATACTGTAAAGTCATAGCGAGCCTCAAATAATTTATCGAATACAAAAGACGAAGACTTCTTAACTAAAAGATAGTATGCCTTCTTTTATTTTCAAAATAAGACAGAATAAACATTCTATACTGTAGAGAGTATAGTTAGAGCAAAAAGTGGTAGTTTTTCTTGAAAAAAAATTTTTTGCATCTTTAGTTTGATCTCATGAACTGTCCCAATCTCACAGAAAACAGACTTCTAATAGCTGAAATACACTTGTCTTTAAAGTTTTATATTTAAAAATAAGTGAATGAATGAATTCACTTTTTCAAATCCAAAAACTTAAGGAGTTCATGCTTTCAGAGGCTAGGTTTAAGATACACATAGCAGGTTGAATGAAAGCTTTCTTGTTGCTCATAGTTATGCTTAATAGACTCCTTCCTCCCAGGAGGATTGTTACTTTATGAATAATACCACCAACAAGAAGTAGCAAGCACAACAGTACATATTCAATTTTATTTATGATTTATTGTGTTAAAATTTAGAAAGAGAAGCATCTATTGAGAGAGAGAAGACTGCTCTTTATTGAACTACTTCAGCAGTTAGCAAGGGCTGAAGAAGTTCTTAATAGTGATTACATTAGCAAGTCTGTTTCCAAATAGCCCCATTATGTTTACATAAAGCTCTCCTGAGAGATAGCTTTGTATTTATAGAATTTTAAACTGTACAAAACAAAAATTCCTGGACATTTAATTTTATTATGACATATTGAAATAAAAATTCAATATAAAATATAAGTTTGGGTTTATTTTCATCATACACTATTAGAATGTACTGTTCATTATCTATTACTGAACCATTTTTTTTTAATGGGGAAGGCAGTTTATTTATTTATTTTTAATTATTTATTTATTCACTCATTTATTTTTTAATTTGACCAGAGAGAGACACAGAGAGAGAGAGAGAGGGAAAGTGAGAAAACAAGCCATCAGGTGCAGGACTCGAACCATGGTCAGCCATGTGGGAGTGTCCAGTGCCTTAACCACCATACCACCTGCTGGCCCCTCTATTACTGAACCATTTGTATTTATTATTTTAGATGCTCACTTTTTTTTTCACTTTGAGCCCTGGTTTTCTCCTTTATACTGAGATACTATTTTGTAAGAAATTCTTCTGAGGGGGCTAGCAGTTGGTAAGGAGGTTAAGGCAGCTGGATCCCACATGGCTGTCTGCATAGCTTGTCCTGGACCCTGAGGTTTGAAAAATGCTCTGGGGACCAACAGGTGGCATGGTGGTTAAGGTGCTGGACACTCCCACATGGCTGACCACAGTTCAACTCCTGGACCTGGTGGCTAGGTTTCTCACTTTCTCTATCTCTCTCTCTCTGTGTCTCTCTCTAGTCAAATTAAAACAAATGAATGAATAAATAAAATAAAATAAGTAATTCTTAAAAAAATAGAAAGAAAGAAAGAAAAATGCTCTGGGCATTCATGTGTGCATGCCTAAAATACTGAGAAGAGAATGGAGAAGGGATTGTGGGGTGGTCATCTGCCCTGAGTGGTGCTTTCTCACTTTCTCTCTCTGTCTGTCTTTCCAGTGAATGCATGTATCCTACAGCAAAATTTAAACACAAAAATGAAAATGAAGGGCTGGCAGGTGGTATGCTAGTTAAGGCACTGGACTCCCACATGGCCACCATGGTTTGAGTCCTGGACCTGGTTGCTTGCCTTCTCACTTTCCTCTGGTCAAATTTTAAATAATAATAAATAGATAAATAAATAAATAATTCTCTTTTTTTTCTTGAGAGGTTTTCGCTATAGGGTGCGTGCGCTTGCCAGACAGACAGAGAGAGACATAGAGACAGAAAGTGAGAAATCACCCCCCAGGGGGGATGGTCATGCCACAATTCCTTCTCCTCCATTCTCCTCTTGGGATCTTGGGCACGCATGCACATGCGCCCGGCGTGAGTTTTAAGCCACCGGGTCCAGGACGCGAACCGCGGTCGACTACGTGGGAGTCCAGCGACATAGCCATTTACACTAACTGCTGGTTCCCATTAAATAAATAATTCTTTAAAAAAAAGTACCACTAGGAAGACCTTTATTCATCTTACCTCCTCTAATCCTGACATTTCTTTTTTTAAAGTAATATATTTATTTAATTCAATTTGTTGTTATTTATTTTTTTTAATTTGACCAGAGAGAGACAGATAGGGAAAGGAAAAGTGAGAAAGCAAGCTGCCAGGTCTGGGATTCAAACTGCAGTCTAGCCATGTGGAAGTCCAGTGCCTTAACCATCACACCACCTGCCGGCCCCTAATTCTGATATTTCTTTACTGGCAGTATAAGAAGTTAGGAGAAGGGACAATAACCAAGTTACAAACCCTTGGCACTGGAGGTAGACCTCCCTCAATGCCTATAACTAATTCTCTGAGTAAGTAAAGTAAAAGTTCATGGGAGGAGAGTCTCTGTGTGGACCCTTGTGCCAATAGACCCTCAGAAGATGAGTTGGTCCTGAAGTCAGCTGCAGCAGTACCTTCTAACAAGGAAGCAGAGTAGGAAGTACCACATGGATAGTCAGTTTGAATTTGGGGGGGAAGTTTGAGTTTTTTTTGTTATTTGGTTCCCCAACTGCCCCCCCCCATATGTAGAAAATGTAAAAGATTAGGACATTTCCAGGGAGAGAGCCTACTATCGGAAATTCAACAGTCTCCACTTAAACTTTATCCCAAACTTTGGGGCCAACAGGTGGTGTGGTAGTTAAGGTGCTGGACTCCCACACAGTTGACACCAATGGCTTGAAATTCATGCCAGGTGTGCATTTACACATGCCCAAAATCCCAGGAGAAGAATGAAGAAGAGTTTATCATGTGGCCATACCCCAGGGGGTGATTTCTCTCTTGCCCTCTCATTGTCTCTCCAGCATGTGCCCTATGGCAAAAATCTTAAAAATAGGGGCCAGTAGATAGTGTGGTGGCTAAAAGTGGTGGATTCCTACATGGCTGACCACGGTTCGAGTCCCAGACATAGTGGCTTGCTTTCTTTCCCTCTCTCTGGTCAAATTAAAAAATAATAAGAATGAAAAAAAATAAGAATAACAAATGGAATTAAATAAATATTTCTTTAAAAAAAAAACTTAAAAATAAATATATAAAAATTAAAAAAAAAAAAACTTTATCACAAACTCAACAGCTCTCCCCATAACTCATTCTTCTCCTTGGACTCCCATCCTAATTAACACTAACTTTTACCCTCTTGGGGCAGATGGAAGCCCTTGTTTCTGGGGACTCCATCCTCTTCAGCATTGCCCCCTTCAGTTTGAAGCCAGAGATGGGCTTTTTTCTATGCTGGACCAGCCATCCATGCTTCTTGTCTCTAGCCCAGCTAATCCATGTGCAGGCATATTGTAGCCAGAGGTACCTGTCCGAAACACAAGACTGGTCATTCATCAGTTCCTGCATTAAAACCTCCACTGCCTGAAGATAATGTACAGGCTTCACATAACGTATATGAATGAGATCCTTCAAGACCTACCTTGACCAGATTGCCCCTTTCCTTTCTGGTGTCTCCCTCCCTCAACAAAACAATGGGCTCTCTGTAATTTTTTAAACACACCACACTGAGTACCTAGTTCTGACTGTATAGCAGGTACTAAACTTTGGAATAGTGAACATGAAAAGGAACATCTCTGCTCTCCTGCATTTCACATGTTAGTAAGAAGAGCCAGTTGATGAATGAGATGATTTCAGATAGTGCCAAGGTGCTGTGGAGAGAGTCAAATAGGGTGTTGGAAAAGAAAGGTCAGCTGTATAGATACAATGCTCAGGGATGGCCTGAGAAGATGACATTTAGTTGAACTTGAATGACAAGGAGCCTGACTAGCAAAGATAAGGCAAAAAGCAGTTGGGGCATATTCTTAGCATATGAGAAAGGTCTTGATGCAAGGAATAGCTTGATCCCTAACTTTTTTTTTTTTTTTTTTTTGGAGAGGTTTTTTGCTATAGGGCATGTGGGCTCTCCAGAAAGACAGAGCGAGACAGTGAGACAGAAAGCAAGAAATCACCCCCCAGGGGGGATGGCCACACCGCAATCCCTTCTCCTCCATTCTCCTCTCAGGATATTGGGAAATCTTGGAGAACGTACACACATGTGCCCGGCGTGAGTTTAAGCCACCAGGGCCAGGACTCGAACTGTGGTCAAGTACTTGGGAGTCCAGCGACATAGCCATTAGCCAACTGCTAGTCCCGACTCCTAACGTATTTAAGGTTCCAAAGCAAAGCCTTGAGGTTGAACCTTACAATATAAGGGGGTCTGGGTGGAAGTGGGGTAGGGAGAATTCAATGCATTACACCAAGGTGGAGCCAGATCATTTGGGGTTTGTAGGCCATGGAAAGGAGTTTGAATATTATTTCAAGGGCCAGAGAAATTACTGAAGGATTCCATGTGAATTAATGACATGCTCTGGTTTACCCTTTTAAAGGATCACTCTGGTTTCAGGCTAATGCTCAGGCCATTTGTAAGCCTGACATGACTTGTATTTACTTGGGCAGTTCCAGGAGTCCCGGGTGAGAAAGGGCCCCCTTGCTGCAGTCCTCTCAGCCTGCGTCGTTTAGCGGCTAAAACGAGATTGGGTGGCGTCCCTTACTATCCTTGCTTCACCAGTCCTTAAACAGACCCTCACTGGGAACAAGGGACGTGGAGGAGAATGCAAGGCGCCAACGCCCATTCTGTGCCCACTTGTATCTCCGAAGTCACCGGGCTAGGCTGTCAGACTCCGTTTGACACTGGGGCAGTGACAAACCCAGGGTCCATGGGTGAGAGGGATAGACAAGGCTCCTCGCTGCAACGGGCAAGACACTACCTTCCACAGGTAACCCTCCCCTGCCCAAGCAGAAGTGGCCGCCAAGACGCGACCGGCTTGGCACTGCACGGCAGGAGCTGGACTACAACTCCCAGCAGACTCCGCGCGCAGCAGCGGATCCCTCCGCCCCCATCTACCCCGCGGGTCGGACCCCCTGCTGCCAGTCAAGGACCAGAGCCAGGTTTTCCAGGATGCGAGGTCCGTCTTCTTCTCAAACTTCCCGAGAGGAAGGCCTGGGAGCCCCGAAAAAGAAACGAACTTATTTTGGGGAGAAATGCGGAAGCAGACGACTGACAGACAGCGCTCTGAATCAGCGACTTTCGCGCGCTTTGGCGCAGGTGGTTGTGGGTAATGCACTCAGGCGGGAGAAAGGAGCTGGAGGCCGGGGTGCGCCGC